AATAGGAGACCGCGACACCGCCCACCCGCCGCACGCCGGCCAATGGCGGCCCCGCGCTGCCGTCGCGTCACCCCCGCCTCGGCCAATGGGCGCGCGGCGCGCCGCGGGGCGGGTCACGTGGGGCGGCGGAGGGGCCGCGCGCGGGCGCGGGAGCGGGAGGCGCGAGAGGTGACGTCACGTTCGCGGGAAGCCGCGTGCCTCCGGCAGAGGGGGCGGGGCCGCGCTTAAAGGGGCCGCGCTCCACCCCTTCCCCCGCGGGGAGGGGGACGTACCGGGAGCCCCACACACACACCGGGAACCCCCCACCGGAACCCCCGGGGACAGGGACACCCCCGGGGACAGGGACACCCCCGGTCAGACCGGGAAATCCAGGACCGGAGGCGGCCGGGGAAGCCCAGGCGCGGTGCCCGGCGCACGTGGTGCGGGCGCTCCTCGCCGCGTGGAGCCAGGCGGGCCGACACGGGTGCGGGCACACGGACACACCCCCGGTGCCGTGCGCGGGAGCCGCGGCCCGGCCGGAGCTCGGTGCGGGATCGTGGAATCGTGGAATGTCCTGGGCTGGAGGGACCCCCAAGGACCATCCAGTCCAACCCCTGTCCCTGCTCAGACACCGCAACAATCCCGCTCTGTCCCTCAGAGCCTTGTCCAGAGGCGATGGAAGGGCCGAGCCGCAGCCCCGGGGCGATCCCGCACACGCCGCGGGCCGGGCGGGAGGAGTGCGGGGGCACGGGGGGCACATCGTGACTGCTGCCCCAACCCTGGAAGTGTCCGAGGCCAGCTTGGACGGGGATTGGAGCAACTTGTGCAAGTGGAAGTTGTCCCTGCCCGTGGCACGGGGTGGAACGAGATGGGCTTTAGAGTCCCTTCCAACCCAAACTAAGCTGGGATTCCATGATTTCCGTGATCTACTTGTGACCGACGGCAAAACCAAGTTACAAATCTCTGGGGCAGAGATTTTCTCTCCTGAAAAATGTGAGCAGGGAGGGTGGGTTTAACCCTGGAAGCATCTGAATGAGTCAAATGTTAAATCCAAGGATGAATCCTGCTTTTCTGAATCATCCCTGTGATGCAGCAGCCCCACGGGAGGGGGTTTGCCTCGAGGCTGCGTTGATGAACCAGGGAAATGAGGCACGGGAAGCTGTTTGGAGCAGCCCATCATTGCTCACTGACCCCCAAGATTTAGGGAGCAGCTGATTCTGCAAGTGCTGCCCCACAGAACGAGCACAAACCTGGGCTCTTCCCTCACAGAATCACTGAGGCTGGAAAAGACCTCTGAGACCATCGAGCCCACCTGGTCCCCAGCCCAGAGCACTGAGTGCCACGTCCTTGGACACCTCCAGGGTGGGGACTCCTCCACTCCCTGGGCAGCCTGTTCAGTGCCAACCACCCTCTGGGGGAAGAACCTTTCCCTGAGATCCACCCTGACCCTGCCCTGACACAGCTCCAGCTGCTCCCTCAGCATGGCATGAAAGCTGGCCACTGGCTGGGATTTCAGCTGTGCTTCTCTTTTATTCCACGACTGTCTCACAAAAAGGCCCGACAAAGAGCTGGGGGAAAAGCAGATGAAAGCACAAAAAAACCCCAAACTCTCCAACTTTCACACTCCATCAGCTGAGGCTGCAAAAAACCCAGTGCTGCTGCACCCAGAGCTGGGGACAGGCAGGGAATGAGAGGCCAGCACAGGCCTGGACCACGGGCAGAGCTGTGGAAGGACAGACAGATCTTTAAATTTGTGGGTTCTGCAGGGACCCCCATGCCCAGGAACACCCAGGTCAGGCTTTGGTCACTTTTTTAGGGATGAGGAGGGTCCAGCTCCCCTCTCCATGCACTGGGATGTCCTGTACAATTTGTGTTTCCAATTCGTGGGTCCGATAAAAATGATTTTGTTTTGCTCACACCTTTCCCTCTTTCACTACAACCAGACTTCAGGCTCTGTGGTCCTCAGGTCAGCAGGGCAGGGACCCACATTTCATCAGGAGAAAAGGACACAAGTGGATCTCCTCAGAACCATAAAGGCACCAGGCAGCCCAAACTCCCCCCACAGACCCCTGTCCAGCCGGGTTCCCCCGGGAGCTGCCAGCCTGGCCTCGCTCCAGAGGTCCTGGCAACTCCCTGGGAGCTCAGTGCTGGTGCTCCAGTGAACATTCCATATGGCAGGACTGTGGTGGGAAACGTGGGATTCACAGCTCCTTTTGGCTGGCCTTGCCCCCGACCTGCACTTTGGATCTCGAGAGGACAGGGAGGAGAATTCCCCCTTCCCAGGAGCCACCTTTGTGATGTTTGACCTGTTTCATTGCCAGCAGCAGAGCAGGCAGGAACCTGGCCCTGTGAGAGCAGCAGTTTGGTGTTAAATCACGTGGAAATGTGATTTCTGAAGGTCCCACTGGCAACACAACCTGTGTTTGATGCTTCACAAGCAGCACGAGACACAGCCCAGGTTATGTTCCTGATTAAACTGGAGGAAACGCAGACTCACAGAGTGGTTCAGGGTAAAGGAACCACTGGAGGTCACCCAGTCCCACCTCCCTGCTCCATAGGGGCCCCTGGAGCATTCCCTCAGGATTCTCTCCAGATGGGTTTGGAATATCTGCAGGGACAGACACTCCACAGCCCCTCTGAGCACCTTCTCCAGTGCTTGGTCACCAGCGAAGTCCTTCCTTGTGTTCAGGAACACAAAGGTTCAGTTCCACCAAACCAGCTCTGCACCACCCACAGCTGCTGAGGAACTGCAGTGCCTGGAACACCAAAAAACACCCCATCAGCTGGACATCCTTCAGGAACAGCCACTGCCCCAGGGGTGCCCATCTCCTCCCTCCAGCCTGGGATGGAATTCCCATCGGGATTTTCCTCTTCACAGAGGCTCCAGCTCACTCAGCACCGGCTGTGTCTGGCACAGCAGCCAATTCCTCCCTGACCCACTCCCTCCTGCTGCCCCAGCACCTTCCTGCAGACCCTGGGCAATAATCCAGACCCCAGGAGAGACATTTCAGCAGCCCAGACAGTGCAGGTACCACCCTCTCCTGCACCCCCCTGCAAGTGGTGGCAGAACTATTTTGCTTCCTCCTCCTGCAACACACACCCCTTTAGAGTCCTGCTCCAGCCAGGGCATTTTCCTCTGGGGCTGTAAATTCCCTGTAGGAATAAGTGAGTGATTTGCAAAACTGAAGAGACACCGGCAGGAAAATGTTGCTGAACTGCTGTCACCACTTTGCAGGGGAGGGAAAGACCCTGCAGAACGTTCTTCTAAATCCAAGGCACACACAGCTCAGCCCATTGGGAAGAATTTCATCTTTTTCTGCGGTGCAAAAATGGACCTAAATTAGGTTTCATTGCTGGTTTTTTCCCCTGTTAGGGCTGAAGGGAACTGCAATCATGAGCAGCTGGTAATGGGGCTGTTACAATATCCCAGTGCCAGCTAAAGCACTTATTTCAGGATCATTTCACTTCACATGCAGCAGAGCTTTTCCCAGCCTGGAGGAGCAGGTCATCCATGTGCTGCTCCAAGGGAAAATCCAGCCTCTGGAGGGAACAGAGCACCATTTCCTCAGGATCCTTGGTTGTATCCACTCCCAGTAACACCCAGAGCTCTCAGCTGTGAGAGCCAAGTGTCAAACACCAGAGAGTACAACGATTTTCAGCACCAAGCTTGGAATACCCAGGAACATTCCCAAATGTTTAACAGGTCAGTGTGCTCCAGGTGAACTGAGGTTCCTCCTGGGACCAGATCCCCAGACAGCATTTACATCTCCTTAAGAGTTCTGCCAAAACAGTGCATTTTTAGTGGGGCTCTAACCCTTCTGATAGTTGCTCACTGTGGTTCTCAGCAGCCACACTTCCATCCCAATCCCTCCACGATGGGCACAGACACCTTTCTGCCAGCTGTTCTCCCTCTAGTAGGGATGGAGCCTTCCCTCCAGGAAGGGGTTACTGATGGGACAAACTCCTCTCATCCACGAGCAGCAGCTCCTCAGAGCAGGCTGGGCTGGCACAAAAAGCCAGAATATTCACTGCTCAACACCAGATCTGGGGCTCAGCCAGGGTTTAGGGGCCATTTCTTATTTACAGAATGTGTGGGAGAAATTTAAATGGCTCAGAGAGGGGCTGCAGGGCTGGGCTGCTCCCCCAGCATCACCAGTCAAGGAACTGGGCCCTTAACAACACGGGATTCCCCTCACACAGACTCACATCTCTCAGGATGCAATAAACCATAAAATAAATTTAGCTCAAGAACTAAAATGCCTGTTCTTGTCCTGGTCACCAGGAAAATAACCCAGAACTTCCTCTGCTTCAAGGCATGGGCAATTTTGAGTAAAAAAACTCCAGCCTGCTCCAGCACCAGAACCATCCCCACCAGCACCTGGGCCAGAGGCTCCTCCTGGTAGTACCGACCTTGAGGGCAAGGGAGGGATTGCTGGGCACATGGAGCTGCTCTCCTGGCTCCAGTGGGAATGCTGACTGCACATCCATTCCTTGGATTCATTCCTGATAGGGACCAGTCAGGGCCCTTCCACCCCACAGGCATGTGCAGCTACCCCAGCACAGGGTTCAAGGAATCTCCCAAGTTGGAAGAGACCCTCAAGGACCATCCAGTCCAACCCCTGGCCCTGCACGGACACCCCAACAATCCCACCCTGTCCCTCAGAGCGTTGTCCAAACCCTCCTGGAGCTCTGGCAGCCTTGGGGCTGTGCCCACTGCCCTGGGGAGCCTGTTCAGTGCCAACCACCCTCTGGGGGAAGAACCTTGCCCTGAGATCCACCCTGAGCCTGCCCTGACACAGCTCCAGCCATTGTCAGCATGAGACAGGGACAAACTGGACCAGCACCACCGTTTGCAGACAACTGGGTCTTTTATTAAGCATTTAAAGTGCTACAAAAAACTGAAGGAGCCTTCACGGGGCAACTTCCTTTTCTGCAGTCTTAGCTCTGTTGGAAGAAGCAAACACAGCTCATTAGTGGACTCATTTAAGCAATTAAATCTGACAAAGCAAACAGAGCTGGGCACTTACAGCCGGGCACTCGATGGCACCACTGTTGATGTCGTCAATGATGTCGTGGGGGTGTCTGCCATCGATGCTGCAGCCCACAGACTGGGCAGTGCCCAGGATCTCCTTGATGGTCCCTGCAGCAGGAACACATGGCTTGTCAGTGCTTTAGCACAGGGGAACACCTGAGGAACTTACTTGGAACACCTTGGGCCAGTGGAAGGTGTCCCTGCCCATGGCAGGGGGTGGAAAGAGATGAGCTTAAAGGTCCCTTCCAACCCAGACCAATCTGTGATTCTGTAACACAGAGAACTCCTCACACCCCTCAGCTGTCCCTCCCTCTGGGGGTTTGCAGGCTGGAGCTCACCAGGAGACAGCAGGTCACTTATCCAGCTCTCCTGTGCTGGTTTCCCAGGAAATGCACCACAAGTGCTACCTGTGCCTGTCCCTTCCCTGCACTGGGGCTCCCAGCCAGCACAGGTTTTCCCTGTGGTGCAGCACACACAGCTATGGGCCCTCCCAGGACTGGAGCAGACCATGGAGCAGGCAGAGGGAGCTCTGTCTCCCAATCCCAGGACTCACCCGAGAGCTCCCGAGCCAGGGACCTGTGGCGCATCTGCCGCGCGATGTTCACGATCTCGTCGAAGGTGACGCTCCCGCTGTGCTTGACTGTGAGGGGACAGAGCAGTGAGGACACCTGGCACAGGCACTGCCAGCAACCCCTGCTGCCTCGGGAGCACCATTCCCACTGCCCTGACTCCGTGGAAAGCTGGCAGCTCCCAGCTCCAGTGGGGCTGCCATCAGCGCTCCTGCTCCCAGGCTGTTACACAAAGTTACCCACAACTCTTTCCTGAGTTGGCATTTTCTGCCAGCTCCCCTCTGGCCGTACCAGACCCCACAGGACAGGCACAGGTACCTGTTTTACCCTGTTTGTGCCCAGAGAAGCTGTGGCTGTCCCTGGATCCCTGGAAGTGTCCAAGGCCAGGTTGGACAGGGCTTGGAGCAACCTGGGCTAGTGGGAGGTGTTCCTTCCTGTGGCAGGGGGTAGGACTGGATGAGCTTTAAGGTCCCTCCCAAACAAAACCAGTCTGGGATTCCAAGATTCTGTGATTTTCTAAAAACCAGAATCCTGGCTGCTCAGGATACAGCCCTGTGGCACCAGTTTGCCAGTTTACACTGACTAACCCCAGAGGAAGGTACTGGTGTTCCTCCCTGTTACCCCCAAAACATTCAGAACCAGAGCCAGGGAGCACTTACTGTTCTTCTGCTTCTTCCTGTCACGAGGGGGCTCCTTCAGAGCTTTGATAATCAGAGCAGAGGCAGAAGGAACAACTTCTATCTAAATGGAAAGAGATTAATTCCCCCCCCATTCTGCACACTAATGAAAATAATCAACCAAGCAGTCATTTAGCTCAGCAAAACCAACTGCCAGAGCAGTGTGGGTTGGGTTAGTTCCCTCACACACCACATTTCCTGGGATGCAGGCACCTGTTCCCAGGTTTTCGGCACAGGCCTCCCCACATCCAGGGGAGAACTGCTTCCTGCCTGGGGCTTCCTCTCAGCTCACCACTGGAATGTGCCAGCCACGGAGATCAGGACAGGCACGGTGGCAGGTGGCTACTGGGTTAGTTAGTTTCATTTTATCTCCCACATATCCCAATTATTTATTTTCCATTCTATGGGTTTTATTTATATTTATGTCGCCTGAAATAAGTTTTTCTTTTGCTGGTACTATTGAAGGAAAAATTTATCTGTGCAGGAAGCAACAGCAGCATGAAAAGAAGGTAACAGCAGGATAAAAACTGAACTTTGGCACATGAGGGTCTCTTCCCGTGGACAGGAGCCTGGCAAGCCCCAGAATCCACACACATCCCCCACCCACGTTTTAAGGTCTTCCCAGAAGACCCCCACACACGCCTGTGTGGCACTCATTTTATCCACCTCGGAAGGATGAAGGGCTGAGTGGACCCTGCCGGGATTTGGGGCGGTGGCAGGAGCAGGGGGTGCCCGGGGGGGGCTCCACCCCCGCCGCACACGCGGCCCCTCCGCTGGCGTTGCGGTACCTGCGCTTGCCTGTTCTGGATCGTGAGCTTCACCGTGATCCGCAGCCCCTTCCAGTCGCCCGTGGCCTTGGCGATGTCATCGCCCACCTTCTTGGGGGACTGAGGGGCGACACGGGGGGGGTCACACAGAGCTCGGCTCAACCCCGAGAGCCCCAGGGGTGTCCCAGGGGTGTCCCGGCTGCTCCGCTCTGCTGCGAGGTCGTTCAACACCCTCTTTTCTCCGGAACCGCCCCCAGCACTTCCTGGGACACGCTTCCCACCTCCCCTCCCGGGAACACATTAATGTCCCCCCTGGACACGCTTCCCAAGCCCCCATCCCACTCCTCTCCCCGGGACCACGCTGATTTCCCCTCTGGACACGCTTCCCAGTCCCTCATCCCCCAGGGACACCCTTCCCGCCCCCTCTCCCGGGAACACACTTGTTTCCCTCCTGGACACACTTCCCAGCCCCTCCATCCCCGGGGACAGATCTTCCACTCCTCCCACGGCCACTCTTCTTCTTCCCTCTTCCCCCCCTCCAACACCCGCCAGAACAGGTTTGTCCCCCCAGGAACACGCTTATCCCCCCCTGGACACGCTTCCCACCGTTCCCTCCTCCCTCGAGCTCGTCTCCCAGCCCCTCGGTTCCCCGTCCCCGGCACGTACCAGCCCCAGGGGTCCGATCTTGGGGGCGAGCGCGGAGGTGGCTCCGACCTCCCCTCCGGTGCAGCGCAGATACACTGCGGGGACAGCGCCGCGTCAGCCGCGCCCGCGGGCCCCGCCACCGCCCCGGCCGCCCCTCCCGAGCCACCCCCCGCCCGGCTCGTACCGACTTTGATCTCGTTGGGGTCGAACTTGGGCGGCATCGCGGCGGATGGGGCGGATGGAGCGCGATGCGAACTCGATCCTGCAGGGAAGGCGAAAGACGGCGCGAGGGCCGCGGGCCGAATATATACCCGCCGAGATCTCGCGAGAGGTCCGGAGAGCGGGGACAAATGCCGAGATCTCGCGAGATCTGCGATTTGTACGTCCCGGGATGGATCTAAACATATAAATATTATAAATATAGAAATAGAGATATAGATAAAAATAGAGATGTGGGGAGATGAGGATGGAGATAGAGAGAGATGTAAACATAGAGACAGAAATAGAGAGATAAATAGATATGGATCTATAGAGATATAGAGAGATATAGAGGTGTATAACTAGAAAAACAGAAATATAGATAGAAATAAATAGAAATATATAAAGTTTTAGATAGAGATATTAAGACATAAATACAGACACAGAAACAGGGATAGAGAGAAATATATATAGAAATAGAGGTATAATAGAAATAGAGGTATGGATTGAGATAAATATAGACATACGGATAAAGATACATAGAGACATCGACAGATCAGATGGATGGATGGATGGATAGATAGATAGATAGATAAATGTTTTATAGATCGATAAATGATTTATAGGTAGATAAATGGGCCAAGACCAACTGTCTGAGGGTCAATAAGGCCAAGTGCCAGATCCTGCACTTGGGTCACAGCAATCCCACACAAGGCTCCGGTCCTGGGGAAGAGTGGCTGGAAATCTGCCCAGTGGGAAAGGCCCTGGGGGTGCTGGTTGGCAGCTCCTGAACGTGAGCCACGTGTGCCCAGGTGGGCAGGGAGGCCAATGGCCCCTGGATTGTACCAGCCATGGTGTGGCAGCAGGGCCAGGGCAGGGACTGTCCCCTGTGCTGGGCACTGGCAGGGCCCCACCTCCAATCCTGGGGGCAGTTCTGGCACCCTCATCATTTCAAAATGTGGAATACATAAAAATTTTCTTCAGAAAGGCTGTTCTTTGATGTTGGATCTTTGTAGCTTTCAATCCTAATCAACCAGAAGGGAGATTTGATTCGTGGAACAGCATCTTGTCGAGCTCCAAGTGATGTCCAGGTGTTAGAAAAACAAGTTACTTGTTGGTAGAATTGCCTTGTTGAGGTTTGGGCCTGGAGATGCTTCAGTGATCTCAGAGCCAGGGGGAGGTGAAAGCCTGGGGAGAAGGATGTGCCAGTGACAGTGGGCACAAAGAATGCAGCATTTACAGGCCACAAGGACTTGTGGCAGAACTCCCAAGATAAGGAAGAGAAGCAGCTGAGGGAGCTGGGGGGGCTCAGCCTGGAGAAAAGGAGGCTCAGGGAGGACCTTCTTGCTTTCTACAATTCCCTGACAGGAGGGGGGAGCTGAGGGGGTCGGGCTCTGCTCCCAGGGAACAGGGACAGGAGGAGAGGGAACGGCCTCAAGTTGTGCCAGGGGAGGTTTAGACTGGATATTAGGAAATTTTTTTTCATGGAAAAGGTTGTTAAGCGTTGGCACAGGCTGTGCAGGGCAGTGGAGGAGTCACCACCCCTGGAGGGGTTCAAAAAACCTGTGGATGCAGCACTTGAGGACATGGATTAGTGGTGGACGTGGTGGTGATGCTGAGGGTTGGACCTGATGATCTTAAGGGGCACTTCCAACCTTAACAACTCTGGGATTCTGTGGAAGACCTGGTTCCTCTGGAGAAGCACTAGGTGGGTGACAAGCACATGGGAGATGCTCTGGCACACACACTCTGCTGTCACACACACACATTCTGTGTCACACACACACTCTGTGTGTCACACACATTCTATGTCACACACACATTCTGTGTCACACACACACACTCTGTGTCACACACACATTCTGTCACACACATTCTGTGTCACACACACATTCTGTCACACACATTCTGTGTCACACACACACACTCTGTGTCACACACACATTCTGTCACACACATTCTGTGTCACACACACATTCTGTCACACACATTCTGTGTCACACACACATTCTGACGTGTTCCTCCTCCTGAGGAAGGCAGAGCAAAGTGCTGTGAGCACAGAGCAGGGTCTGCAGGACATGAAGGGCTCAGGTGTTGCTGAGAGCTCTGGAATGGAGAGTTGGGCAGTGCTGGTTTAACTCCAGTCTCCCAGCTCTGAGGGAGGGAGTGACAAAGCAGGTTGTAGATTCCTGGAGGAGGTGGCATTGCCATTGCTTCAGTCAGTCACCTCAGCACTGGTGGGTGAAGCACTGGAGAGCTGTCACTAGAGGACAGACCTGCGCTGGCTCTGGGGGGTGATCTGCAATTCCAACTGGGATTTCTTTTGGACTGTGTGCTTGGCAGGGCTGCTGTTTGCACGAGTCCCCTGCACCTCCATCCAGCACATCAGAACTGCTCCTTGGGCCGCGGGTTCACCTTTTCTTTCTCATTCTCAGCCTGTTTGTGAGCTCCGTTCTGCAGAAAATGCAGTGCTATAGTTGGGGGGAAGAGCAAGAGCTGGTGGAGTAAAAGTAGCAGTGGATGATGCAGGAAGGTGGGAAGGTAGCAGTGGATGATGAAGGAAGGTGGGTTGCTGATTTCCGACACAGTGCTCCAGAATCTTCCCTCTCCTCATCAGACACTATCAGAGAAGTCTCAAGTCAGGATTTGGTGGATAATCTTAAGAGCTTGGATATTTTTAGCCACCCAGTGACCAGTCTCTGCTGGAAGCCCATGAACTGTGCACAGATCACCCAGGAGATGAGTGACAACTCTCCATCCTCACCTAAGTTCACCCATAAGAGCTCTGCAGTTTGCTCCCACTTGCTGTGGAGACCCCCAGGAGCGTGTCTGGGGCTGCAGCCACAGCTCCCTGACCCCTGGTTCCTGTGGGAGGGGAGAGTCTGGAACAGCCCCAGGACTGAGGGACCTGCTCTGGCCAGAGGGGCCCAGGGAGGCCTCATCCAAAAATCACGTTGGAGCAGAAAGTGTCTCTGTCACCTGATGGCATCGATCCTGTGGGGAGCTGGGGCTGCTCCCAGCACAGATTCACATTTCCTCTGTGCACGGGGGTGTGGGGAGTTCCCCATCACCATCAGTAGGCACTGATCCCCATCTGTGCGTCGGCTCCGGAGCCTGAAGTATAAAAATGCTGCCGTGATTCCGGTCCCACCTCAGCCCTTCCCCCAGAGCAGCCTTTAAACTGCAGCTGGTTTCTGCTGGTGGGTGTTTGCTGCCTTTTTCCTTCTGGAGTGGGGGATGGCTGAAATCCAGGGGCTGTGGAACAGGGGTGGAGCTGCCACGTGCTCGGCTGTCGAGGTGTCACCTCCCCCTCCTCGTCTCTGTCAGACTGGGAGGAGCTGGAGGATCTTGGACTCCTCCAAGGGAGTTTCTCATTGCAGAGCTGTCCCGGGGATGTCCAGGCACCGGGAGACCTTGGACCCTGTGCTGGAGTCACCTGATATGTGTGGCCTGGTGGGGGTGGTGGGTGGGCAGTGCCCAGCACTGGGTGTTGAGTGCTGTCCTGGGGACTTTCCACAGCAGCAGGGCTGGGTCTGCGTGGCCCTGGCTGAGCCCCGTGGGCTGGAAACGTCCTGGGGACACACCGGGAGCAGCTGGTGCTGGGGGGGCAGGAGGGGAGCATTGGGGTGCTCGAATGAGGGCAGGAGGGGTTTAGGAGGGGATCACCCACCCGCATCCCTCCTCATGCCCCCCTCACCTGGCCATGGGTGGGCAGAGGGTGCTCAGCATCCCCCGGGATCCAGGAGGGGGGAAGGAGTCAGGCTGGCCCGGGAATGAGACACGGCGAGGCAGCGGGAGGGTGGTGGGTCCCAGCCACCCTCTGCAGAGCCCCATCCCCGCAGGGAGCCCCCCCTGTGTCCCACTCAGGGACCGCACGGGGAGTCCCACGAGTCACGATGGAGGGGGAGGAGGATCGAGACCTGCTCGGCAGCAACGCCACCCCCGCTTCCCACCGCCCCCTCCGCCCCATCCTGTGACCGCCTTCGTGCCCCCGGGCCGTGCTGGGGGTGATAATGAGTGACAGGAGCTCAGGACAAGGTCCGCCGCCTATCCGTAAATAGCTGCCAGTGCCAGCACTTCCTGACGCGTCGGCAGTGCCCGGGCTACCCTTTGTCCCCAAAGGGCCACCACGAGTCCCCAGGGTCACCACGAGTCCCCAGCCCCACGCAGGGGGATTAGCCATGGATGGGAACAGAGCAGCTGGAGCATCCCGCGGGAGCCTGGGCACTGCCGAGCGAGGATGCCCCGTGTCACCACAGAAGGTGCTCGGGCGTTTTTAGAGGTTGCAGAAAAAAAAATAATAAAAGAATTTTAAAAAGGCATCTTCACGCTTTGCCCCCATCCAGCCCCAGCTGTGCAGCCCCCTGTGCTCAGCACAACCATCCCCTGCCCTCGGAGGGCTCCGGAGCCCGAGGGGGCGGTGCCGGTCGCTCTCCGGGGTCACCCCCTGCCCCAGGGGGGTGTGAAATGGGTGCAAGGCGGGGCTGTGGTGCCCACGGCTGACCCCGTCCCGCGGCAAAACAACAGTGACAGAAATGGTGCTTGGGGAACGTGAAGAACACAATGGATTTGGAAATGGAAAAGGCGGAGAACAGCGGGGTTGGGGTCAGTGGAGGAGGAGCGTTCCCGCTGTGCCGCTCCAGTGCCCGCCGGGTCCCCGGGGCTGGGCTGGAGTGCGTGGGGGGGTTCTCGCCCCCTCACCCCACCCTGGGCACGGCCACCGCCCGCCCCCGCCTTCAAAAGGACACGGCCGTGCCCCTGTTCCCCGTGTGCCCTCAGAGCGATGGCAGCGGGGCCGGAGGCCGCCAGGGAGTGCGGGATCTGCTACGAGGCGTATTGGGGTGCCGGGGGAGCCCCCCAGGAGCTGCCGTGCCGGCACTCGCTGTGCCAGCGCTGCCTGCGCAGGCTGGTCTGTCGCGCCGCCACCGTGGCCTTCGTCAGCTGCCCCTTCTGCAGGATGGTGACGCTGCTGCCCGAGGGGACCCCCGGGGTCACCCCGGCCTCGGGGACCCCTCGCGGGGAGGAGGAGGATGGGGAGGAAGGCGGCGGTGCCCCCCCAGGCTCCGGGCGAGGCTCGGAGTGGCCCGTGGCCGTGGAGGTGATGTGCCCGTCCCACGGCCCCGTCTTCGCCGTGAGCGGCTCCGTGTCCCCCTGCGGGCCCCGCCGCGGCTCCGAGGCCCCGGGCGCCTTCGTGCTGGGGCTGCTGGGCCGGGGGGTCCTGCTGGACACGCAGCCCCCGCTCGCCTCCATGGAGAACCTGCGGCTCGGCTTCGCCGTCGGCATCCTCGTGCTCATCGTCTCCACCTTCTTCCTGCTCGTCTTCCTCAAGTAGGTCCGGGTGGCGGAGGCGGGGGCTCCCACGCAGCCCCAGTGATGGACACAGCGGCTCAGCCCGTGGATACCTCGGGACACGCGGCCCGGCCGGGGCTCGGCACCCCCTGGATCCAGCCCGGCCGCTCGGGGCCCGCAGGACGCTCGGCTGCCCCGCACACGAGCCCCGGGGCATCAGACTCTTTAAAAATTAACTTACCGCAGCTCTCTCCTTCCTCCCCGGGGTCTGGCCGTGCTCGTGTTCCATTCCTGACATTCCCGGCCCCTCCGGACCCCACGGCAGCGGCTCTGCGGGAGTCACAGCGGGGGCCGCGCTCACCTCCCGGTGGAAAATCCCCCCCGGCTGCACCTCAGTCCAGCAGGCATCGGGAACGCGGTGAGAGGGAACGGGAAGGGTCCTGCAGTGCTTCCCTGGGGGTGAAATTGTTCCCAGGCAACTTTCCTGTGGGGACAGAGCCTGCAGAGGGACGAGGCAGCTGGAACGAGCCGCAGGGACTCAGCCATTAAAGCCAGACGTGGGCCCAGCACCGTGTCCCGTTGTGTTTCTGTGAATCCAGCACAGGCAGGGCAGGGCTGAGCACCGAGTGGAGAAGGGGCTCCTCTTCCCCACCTTCCCCTCACAACTCCCCCTTGGGCACATCCTCAGCAAGATCCCTCCCTCTGTCACCAGAACTCAGCACCCAGGATCAGAATTGGCCCCTCCACAGCCCCAGTGACAGCAGCATCCCCTCCTTGGCCCTGGCATGTCCACCCCTCGCAGAGCCTGCTGGCTCCCTGAGCTCCCTCACCCCCACCCATCCTGCACCCAAGGCAGGTGCACACAGGGGAACAAACATGGTTAATTCAGATCCTGAGACTGGGAGCTCCAGGCCGAGGCAGAGGGAGATGGCAGGGTGGGAAAGGGGTTGTGTTTCCTGCTGTGAGAGGGACAAATTTCAATCTTTGCTCCAGCACCCCAATCCCTGCCCAGGGCTGCACCTTCAGGCGGCTCCAGAACAGCTTGGGGGGAAGCCTGAGCTGCTGCCAACCCCCCTGAGATTCCCAAAGTCCCCCTTCCCCAAAGCCTGAGGAGAGCCAGGTGAGTGACTCCTGTGACCACCTCAGCTCTTCTGTGGTTCAGCTTCTCACACCGACACTGGCCAAGGAGCCAGCTGCTGCCCCGAGGAGCCACAGTCACAGCACAAGGGGCTCAACAGCAAGAACATGCCCAGAAGATTCCTAGATTAGATTATTCCTGATATTTAAACCACTTTCCAAGTGAGAGATGAAGTCAGACTAAAGTAAAGCCCATGCAAGGAAAAAAATACAGGTTTAATTGCACTTTATTCTCCAAGAAGTGAAATGCAAATCCCTCAGGTTGTCTGTTTGTAATAACAGGGAATGAGAAGTGGAACTTGTTAGTTATGAGCAATGACCTCCCCTGGGACAGTGCACGGATGGGGTCCAGAGGCCACATCAGGGCACCCACACTGGGAGCAGCACAAGGATCCCCAGAGAAAATGCAGGTTTCAAACATCATCAGGGGCAGCACTAACTCCTGGAGTGGCTCCCAGGAAGCCCCAGCTCAGGTACCTGGCACCAGGGGGGCTTTGGTCTCCACCCAAATTTCAGCTGCATTTGGCAAGTTGTGGCACTGAGGGTGTTGGGCAGGGACAGGCACCAGCCACACACCCCAACAGGAACACCCAGTGCTTTTTTGGGTGTTCTCCTCCTCTGGGAGGACCCAGACGGAGTTCCAGTCAGAGGTGATTAGAGGCAGTTGTAGAAACTAAATTGCAGTAGATTTAGTTCAAGCTGTTTCCTTGTATTAAGTGAAGGGAGTTACTTGTTTTAAAGACACCAAGGGCTGCTAGTTTAGGTTGTGTTAGTGCCAATGAGCGTAGAGTGAAAGTGCTGTGAGAGCCCCAGGCTGTTTGCCCAGCTCTGACCTCACTCCTTTCCCCTCTTGGCCCCCTCAGACCAAAGGGTTTTACCCCAAACTCCATCTGCCCAGCACAGCCTGGGGGAGGGGGTGGTTACAGCTTGTGTTCCACCATCCCTGTGCTTTAATTGGTGCTGTGATGGTCACCCTTGAACAGCAGCAGAGCCAAAGGCACAGGGGAGGGGCCGGGCTGCCTGCAGGGACTGTGCTGCTGCCCCCACTGCCAGGGAAACAGCCCAGCAAAAATCCCCTCAGCTCTGGCCAGAGGAGAAGAGCTGGCTGGGAGGTCTCTGTGAGCCCTGGGGGTCCTAATCAACACACAGCCAGGGGTTGGGCTCCTTCAGCCACCACCAGGTGCTGGTCTAACAGAGCCCTGAGGGTCAGCACCACTCCCAGGGCCCTGGCCCAGCACCACCTGTGCCACAGCTCTGCCCCAGGGCCCACCTGAACCACCTCAGCCCCCGGGGTCCCCCAGCTGCTTGTGCAGAGCCAGCGGCTCACAGGAAAACCCCTGTCTAGGGTCTGATCTCCAGCAGCACATGGCTCATACCCAGTGGTGAGAGGGTGCAGGGAATCCTGGAGCCACCCTGAGGATTAAGAAGTATTCCAAGGAGATCTTCACCGGGGAAGAAAAGGAGATTTTAGTCTGATTTTTTTTAACAGGCTGTTCCCCCTCCAGGGTCCTGCCAAAGCACTTCACCACGTTCCTACTTGCAGAGAGTCTGAGGTTCATGAATCCAGGGCTCAGGGCGGGGGACAGCAATAGGATGGCTCCTGCACTCCAACCCCTGCGTGTTTGGCAGCTCAGAGCATCAGGGCTGAGAGTGCCCACGAGTGCAACAGGAGCCACTGCTCCCAGCCCCCTCAGTCTGCAGGACTGCAGGGAAGGCCCTGCTCATTCCCAAGTGTCCCACTCGCCAGGTGCTCAGCGCACAGGAAGAGGCCACGCCCAGAGGAGACATCCCAGCCAGACCTTCATCCCAGCCAGTCCAGATCATCATCATCATCATCCCCAAACAGGGGTGCAGGAGGGGGACGCCCCTTCATGCTCTGCAAGGCAAACCAGAGGGGAACTGGTCAGTCTCAGCATCTCCTGGTGTTTCATAACTGGTGCCCAAATTGCTCCATCAGCTTTAAGGGGTTGGGAATGAGAAGCCTCATTACCAGTTTTTTTTATGGTTCACATCATGTCTTAACAGTTAGATTAGGTTTAGATTAGATATTGGGAAAAAATCCTTCAGGGAAAGGGATGTGAAGCATTGGAACAGATTGCTCAGGGCAGTGGTGGAGTCACCTTCCCTGGAGTGTTGAAAAAGTGTGGGGATGTGGCACTTGGGGACAAGGTTTAATGGTGAGTGGTGCCACACAGACAGCTGGACTTGATCATCTTAAAGAGCTTTTCCAGCCTTGAGGATTCTGTGCCTCTGTGACTCCAGGAGCTGCTTACAGGCTAACAGGGATCAGAGAGGGGCCAGACACTAAAACCCTTCCACTAACCTGGCAAGTCCCCTGACTTCATGCCAGCAGGAGTCTGTCATCACTCTCCAGCCAAGGGAACCCCCTCCCAGCTCCATCAGCAACCCCAGACACTCGTGATTTACACAGGGAATGGATGGGAAGCTCTGAGCTTCAGCAGCAGCCAACCAGGCCCCTACTGCAGTGGGGACGATCCTACAGCCAAGCTACAGGTCAGTGCCTGAACCAGGCCCAAATACATACCACTTCCTCCTCATCCTCCTCTTCAGAGGGAACTTGAGGCTTCAGTGGTTTAGGAGATGCTGTCTCAAAGAAGTTGTCATCCTCAAAGAGGCTGCAAGGAGATAAAGGATGAACAGCTCACTCCCAGAGGGTGGGACTTGGTTTTACAGGTTGTGTAACAGTGATGGCAAAGCTTTGTCACACAGGTAAACTTTTAAGGCACAAACTGTTCCCCAGTGCAGGGTGACACTGGGAGCTGGCAGCCTCCAGTAGCAGGTTGTCCAGGAACTGCAGACTGCCCTTGTGCTCCCCTAGGAATGTTCTCCACTGGCTCCACCACACACAGGGCTGTTCCCAGTGGAGCGTGCCCTGGCAGCCTGGTCTGTGCCAGCTCCAGGCTTGTGCCATCCAATGCCAGCACCCTGAGGGTGCGGCAGGCCCCCCACCCACATTGCCCTGCAACGGTGGCACAGCTGTGCCAGGACAGGGGCACTGTGGAATCCCAGTATCACACCTTACCTGGAATCTCCTTGCCTGGGGCTGGAGCCCAATTCCTGCTGTCCTGGGGCTTCTCTGGTGACAGCTGAGCCCAGCTCTGCTGTGCTGGACACTGAGGCAGGTTGTTCCTTCTCAGGGCCAGCTCCATCCCATGGCTCTGAGCCACTCCCTTCCTCCCCATTTAAGGGAGGAGGCTCCAAACCTCCCACAGCCTCCTCTGCCTTCTGCTCCACGGCTGCCACATCCACTTCTGGCTTGGCTTCTGGAACAGAAGGTTCTGCAACTTCTGCCTGCAAAGACACCCTGGAGGGACTGTGTTCTGGCTCAGCTTTCCCAAGGGGATTGCTCTCCTGCCTGTGCTCCTCCTCAGGAATTGGCTGTCCTGCATGTACAGGCCCTTTCTCAGGATCCAGGTGGGATTTGGCTGTGGGAGAGAGATGCTCCCCCTGGACCTTCTCCTCCTCTGCCACCCCATTGCTCCACGTCTCCTGCTCCTCCTCAGGAGTTCCAGGCCTGGCAGAGTGAGGAGCAGTCTTGCCTTCCTGCTCAGACACCCTGGGGCCTGTGGCTGTTTCTCCAGGATCAGCTGGGAATGCAACACTCTGTGCTGGGCTATTCTGCACAGACTCCTGCTGGTCAGTCTTTGCTCCAAGTGACCCCTTCTGTCTCACTGTTCCAGATTCCTCCTTTTCACTCTCATGATCTGGTTTCTCCTGCTGCCTGTTGAGCAGCTGCAGTGTCACAGTCTGAAAAATGGAGCAGAGAGAATGTGGGTTGTACCCTGAACACAAACCATCAGTTCCTGCACCACTCCCACTCCTGGGCTGCTTTGGCACCCACAACAAATTCTGCTGCCCATTTTTTTCAGACTCACAACAAAGATCTGAGTCTGCAGCCCAAGAATTGTTCTCCCACACCAATCACCTCGTGTCTCTCATGACTGTGGTACCTTGATAGTGTTCATGACAACCCCCAGCACTGTCCTGCCACTGTAGGTCTCTTCCAGCTCAAATTCACCCCGAAGGGACTGAAACACACTGTTCATGATCTTCTTGACCTGGAAAAGAGCAAGACAGGGAACAAAGATGTGCATCATTATCATGTGGAGCACTGGACTCAACATCAGGCCCTTCTCCAGGTGAAGGAACAAGAAATCCAAACACACACATGGTTTTGTAGAGAATCCACGTTTCAATCTCCATAATTCAGACACATCAGGCCAACTTAATTCAGAACCACTCTATATACACCAAACCCATCCCTCCCAAACTGAGGCAGCCTGCCCAAACCCAAGGCAGACTGGCACTTAGTTCTTCTTAATCTAAACCTCAAATCTTAACTCTCAACCAAAAAAAAAAAAAAAAAAAAAAGAAATCAAGCAACAAAGTGGGCAGCAGGAAGATGGAGAGAGACTATTTATAAGAGCATGGAGTGACAGGACAAGGGGGAATGACTTCCCACTGCCAGAGGGCAGGGTTAGATGGGATGTTGGGAAGGAACTGTTCCCTTTGAGGGTGGTGAGGCCCTGGCACAGGTTGCCCAGAGAAGCTGTGGCTGCCCCTGGATCCCTGGAGGTGTCCAAGGCCAGGTTGGACAGGGCTTGGAGTAACTTGGGCTGATGGAAGGTGTCCCTGCCCATGGCAGGGGGTGGAATGAGATGAGCTTTAAGGCCCCTTCCAACCCAAACCATTCTATGACTGATTCTAAGACAAGATCCCATCCTTTCTTCCTCTGTGGACTTGCCTACTAAAAACACGGCGCTCTGTGGAAAAAAACAGTATTTTTCCTTATATCAGCTCAAAGAGAATAAAGCAAGGTAAACAGATTTGCTTAGTAAGGAGAAGTAGTGGAGAGTCCAGCTCACTTCTTCTGTGAAGTCTGCAGGTGAGGATCCCTCCTGATCCCTCTCCAGGGCTCGGATCCGTTCTTCATAGCGAGCCTTCAGCACCACAGCATCTGCCTGCAGGGCTGAGAACTGCCAAGGGAAACCACAGTCAGAGCAGCTCCACAGCACCTCCACCACGAGCCTCACCAGGGATGGGGGATCTGAAGGGATTTTTACTGAGGTAAAACCTCGGTGGAGTTTTAAGCAGGGCTTTGACAGAACTGGCTGAAAGCAACAGCATCAAAACAAGGCCACTCAAGCCAACCAAACCCTTGGAGAGCCACAACTGTGTTATCAGCTCCTCAAGTAACACCAGGAATGGGTGCAGCATTCCTGAGATCCCAGTGAAGCAACGGCTGGTCTCCTCATTGGATCTCCTCTGGTTTGCTGCAGGCCAAGTGACATTATCCCTTCCCTCTCATACTCTGGAACTTACATCCTCGTTCTGCTGGACACAGGTGGACTCAGCCTAGTGATCCCTGAACTCCAGTTCCCACCCAGCTGCTCTGTTATTCCCTTTACCTTCTCTTGGATAGGCTCCAGTTCCTCCAAACGTTGCTGAACCTCTGACAATTTTTGCTCCTCTGCTTTTTTCGAGTGTTTTAGAGCCGTGAGCTGAAACACAAGAACCAGAGCCCAGCAGTTACAGCCCCTTGCAGTGTCACCCACTCCACAGCAGCTTCTGCTCAGAAACAGCCACTCAGGACAGTGCAGATAAGCGGGAGAGATTGTAGCTGTTGCTTCAGCTTGGCTCTCCCTCCTCCATGAGCCCACCAACCCACGGAACTGCACGTGCAGACACGTCCCACAGCCGAGACCAAGCTCCAGGACCACCAAGAAATCAAAAAGTCAAGTCACAATTAGGTGGGAGAGGATGTTCTTTACAGTTATTGGCTGTTTGGCATTCCATTTCAGCAATAAAGAGCAGCCCTCTACCTTCTCTTCCAGCTGGGCCAGCTGCTGCTGCAGGGAGTCCCTCTGCTCACACACCTCCTGGTACTGCCGGGCGTGCTGCTCCTTGGCCGAGGCCAGGGCACGCTCACATTTGGCTTCCCACTGGGATTCCAGCTCTGCCTGGATGAGTGACAGCTGCCCATCAAGTGAGAGAGATCATTAGGGACACACACACACCATCTGTATTTGCACAAGTGGTGGCAGCCTGGGGCTGGACATGTGCCCTGGGCTGGGACACCCACAGAGTGCAGCCCTGCAGCTGCTCCTGCCCACACCGCCCTGATCCAGCCACCACCCCTCAGGCTGGGCACAAGGTCTGCCTCACATTTTACATCTCCTGGCATATTTCTATGCAGCCTTTCCCTTCTCAGCAGTCCTGTATTCTTCTCTCTACTACAAACTCAAGCTGGTCCCTCTCCATTCCTCTGTTTGACACTAACCCCTTAATCCAAGCAGGTAACGCTTTCATTCTTCCACTACCTGAGCTTTTTTTGTGACTATTTCCTGCCTATTGGTTCCTACAGGCTTTCCAGACTTGGAGCAGAACTCCCCTGGCCCCTCACCTGCTCTGCTGCTGCCTGGTCAGTCGAAGTCCGGGCCTTTTTCAGCAGCTGCCGCAGCTTGTCCAGCTCCTGCTGGTACGACCTGCGTATTTCTTCCATCTCCTCCTCGGCCTGAGCTCTCTCTGACAGGGATTTCTTCTTCCTCTCTGCAAGATTCTGCAATACAGAACACACAGAATAGGCCAGACTGCACCAAAGCAGCTTCTCTTCCTCGAGCAGAAAGAAATTCTCAGAGCAGGGAAACCTTATCACAGTAAATCAGCACCAAGGATCTACCAGCACAGGGATCTTTGCCTGCCGATGAGTCAAGATTTACTTAACTTGCATATTTAAAAGCAAGAGCGTTGGGTTAACTTTCAGCAAACAACTGAAACCTCCATCTCTGGTGCTGACACTGGACATACCCTTTCCAGGGTCTCCTTCTCCACTTTCAGGTCCGTCAGCTCCTCCTCCAGTGCCGTGATCTTCAAGTCCAGCTGCTTCCGGCTCTGCTTCTCAGCTTTGAATCTGCTCTGAGTGTCCTCAGAGGCTTCCTGGAGCTCTGCAAAACCAGGGAAGGGTTCAGTGCTACACACAGCTGGGGGCTGATGGGCAGGAACAGTGTCTCCTGCACAGTGAAGTCAACAGCTCTGCTGGTGCCTGCAGGGGGGACTGAATTCACCAAGAGCTCCTGTGAAATGGCAACGCTTCCCACAGGATCATGAGTTGTTAAGGTTGGAAGAGGCCTTGAAGATTATGAAGTGCAACTGGCAATCCAGAATCACCACCATGTTCAGCACTAACCCATGGCTCCAAGTGCCACATCCTCATGCTTTTTGAATGCTTCCAGTGATGGGGACTCCACCACTGCCCAGAGCAGCCCATTCCAATGCTTAACAACCATTTCTGTGAAGAATTTTTCCCTGATTTCCAACCTAAACCTCCACTGGTACAGCCTGAGGCTGTTTCCTCTCCTCCTCTCCCTTGTTCCCTGGGAGCAGAGCCTGACCCCTCCCGGCTCCCCCCTCCTGTCAGGGAGTTGTAGAAAGCAAGAAGGTCCCCCCTGAGCCTCCTTTTCTTCAGGTTGAGCCCCCGTCCCCACTCCCTCAGCTGCTCCTGCTGCTCCAGAGCCTTTCCCAGCTCCATTCTCTTCTCTGAACATGCTCCAGCCCCTCAAGGTCTGTCTTGTTGTGAGGGGCCCAGAACCAAACCCATGATTTGAGGTGGGGCCCCACCCATGCCCAGCACAGGGGGATGAACCCCGCAGCTTTTAACTTTCCACCCCCTCATCTGTGGGTCCTCTCTAAGATGTTGGACAGAAACACCAATAGATTGTTGTACAAAAGGAATTCCCTCTGATAGAGGATGATTTGGCCACTTTCAGTGGTCACAAGGATGCACACACCCTCCAGACGTGTCAGAGCATCCATACCCTGTGACTGATCCCGGGGAAAGCAGGAGTAGATACCCCAGAAAAAAAAAAAAAAAAGGGAAAAACTAGGACTTACAAAAGAAGAAAAGGGACAGGAAGAGCTCCTGGGGGGACAGGCAGGAGCAGCCCTACCTGCCACCTGCGCCTGCAGCTTGTTGAGCTGCGCCTCGTGCCGCTCGGCCTCTTGCACGGCCGCGGAGAGCTGCTTCCTCAGGGCCATCTCCTGCTTCTGGTGGGCTGTGAGCTCCAGCTGCAGCTGGGACACCTGGGCTGTGGCAGCTGCCAGCTCCTCTGCAACCTTGGCCTGCAGTGCAAAATGGAGCAGGGAAAAGGGAAGGGAAGGAGGGATGCGTGAGGAGGAACTGTTCTCCCAGGAGGAGCTGATAAGGTGCTGGAGGCTTTATCAGGGAACACATCTCCACACTGAAGAGGCAGAGGTAACATTTTTTGCCATGTTACTGTGAGTTATTTGGCTGTAACCTGCCCAGACTGACTAGAAAGTTTCACGAGGCCACCAAGAACCTCGTCACCACGTTAATTCAACTCAGTGAGCTTTCCTGGAAAGCTCAAGTGTTTTCAAGCCAAGTACCAGTGCCTGGTGGCTCTGCTCAGAGTTTCCAGGCTATGACAACACCAAAGCCTGGGCTCCAGTATCTAGTTATCCTCCATGAGCTTACAAAACCCTGAAGAGCCACATAAAACACAGGCTTGTCCCAGCCAAAAGAGCACCTTGCCCCCAGAGCACACCTCGAGCTGCCCAGATGGGCAAGGCCAACATTTCAGAGCAGAGATTTCAGTCCTTTGTTGACCTGTTTAGATTCAGTATTGCTGAGTTCAGTGACTCACAGAAAGCCAGGCACTAGTACAGCTTGTTAGACCACTTGCAAACAACATCAGGGAAGGCTCAAGGCATTAAGACAAAGACACAAAGTCACGTTCCCAATCTCGTTGCACGACACACAAAATTCAGGATGCTCTGCAAAGACAGAACTTGCACAGGGAGCACCTCAACAGCTTCCACATCTGTGCCTGCTTTGAGATGCCCAGCAGGCTTTTACCTCCTTCCTGGTGAGTTCAGGACAACTGGATTTTCTCTCTGCTTTATCCCCCTAAGAGAATTCCCTTCAGACTAAGACCAACACCTTCTGGCAGAGAAGAGCTGCGAGCAAAACTGTTCCATCTCTGGTGAGGATGACTGTGTGCTGACCCTGAGGGCTGAGATACCACAGCATTCATTTTAGAGAGGAGGCAGCATTTCAGAGACTGGCTAAAACCAGATCTGCTGTCCTCTTATGTCCCCATAAGTGTCTCACTGCCAGAGTAACTCCTGCTAAAACCAAACCCATGGCATAGCTAAAACACATGGAAAGGTTATTTTAACACTTGCCTTTGTCTTCAAAGGCAAATAAAGCAAACACAAATGGCAGATCCTATGGCAGTAAGTGTCACTTCAGATGTAGTTTCTGCAGTGTCCATCCTAGCTCAGCTCCAGCTCTCAGGTACCAAGAATCCTGTGTGACCTGTACCTGCTCTGACAATAATATGATCACATCCTGTTTCTCCCACGGGGAGGTGGAACCAGCAGCAATGTGACAGAATTCTTGGAAAGGGCTCCCCAAAAAAGAGGGGGCAGTGGGGCTACACTGCCCGTTATATAAAGCCCTTTTCCAAGTGGAAATCGGTGCTAATGCAAAGTCTGGGCCAATTCTTGTCATGCCAATCAGTTTGTAGCTGGTTCAAGAGGAAGCTGGGCTGGCACTGCCTGGGGCACAACCATCTGTCACCTCCACAGTCAGCAGACACTGCCTCACCTGGTCCCAGCCCCGATCCACCGGCAGCATGTGCTGGGAAGAGAAAGCAGTGACAGGAAACAGGAAGGGTTAAGAACACAACTGGAAAGGCAGAGGCATTCATCAGCAGAAAAGCAAAATGCTTCATACAACAGGAGCACAAGACATGCCAGGGAAGCCTTTAAATTACTCCAAGACCTGCAAAAGCTTAGGCAGACAAAGGTAGTGAAGCCTGATGCAAAAAGAACAACTAAAGCTCATCTTCCAGGAATGTTGCACAGCACAGGGGTGGGACAGTCCTGCATGGGACCCCTCCCCAGCACTGCAGAGCTGGGGTGTTACTTTTGGTACACAAAGCCTTCCCCTAAAGCTGTGGTGTGCTCTGCCAGGGCCAAAGATCTGTAACCCCAGAACAGCACCTCTGGTACAGCTGCCTGGCCTGTGCCACCAAACAAGTGGGGGCTCCCTGTTTGTAAGGAAAGAATGGATAAAATAGCTTAGAATTCTCCTCCCTGGTTCTGTCTGTCCCTAGAGATCTCAGGGGCTGCAGTCACAGGGCAAGCTGGGTCAGACAAAAGGAAGAGGAAGGAATACCAGCCTTCAGATTTACAGTCAATACCCTCAGAGAACAAAGGGAAATCTTCTCCCAGTGCAAGTCATGGCTTTGCTGGTATGGCCTGAAGTCTGTCTGTGTAACATTATCACCCAGGCAGTGACTGCTGAATCAAGGGAGGGTCCTACTGAAGATGAGGCCCAAAAGATTCCTGAAGATCATCTCTCATACTTCCAAAAGATGATTCCTCCTCAAGTTACTTATTGTGCAAGCTGGATGCTGTCCTCACTGAGAGAAAGGAATTTAATTTATTATTTCAGTCTGACTTATTCCTGGTTAGAATCTCTCACACTCCCCACACATTATGGGTATGCAGCCTGGGCCCTGGGTGGAAAAACAGCCCCTGCTTCCCTGTCTGCTCACACCATGAGCAGCCATCCCCTGCTCTGCTCATCACCACATCTGGAAAGCTGCAGTTTGGGCCAATTTGAAGTGCACCAAGTCATGGCTCTCATGCACAGCAAGCACTTGCCAGCTCACATTTGAGCTGGGGGATGCACAGCTCAGCAGGGGAGCTCAGGGCAGCACTTGGTGCAGTTTAAAAAGCCAGTGCTTGAGAAAGCAGAGCACACACCATGCAGGGACAGAGCCCAGAGCCCAGCTGGGTTAGGCTGGCCTAGGTGGATATGCAGGATATGCAGCCATGCAGAAGTGCATTTAGCTGGTTTAAAAGCTGTTTCCCAGCAGTCCCTTTCACAAAACCACGATGTGGTATTGGTAGAAAAAAAACATCTCTTGATCAGTATTACAAAAAGTGCAAAACTGCAGTGAAGGAACTCCGGTAGGAAATAATTTTTCTTAAAGCTACATTCACTCTGTTTAAAGAGAGTGAAAAGTTAAACAATTAAACAGAAGGAATTAAAAACTCTCTCTGCAACTAAATAAATGAAGTATTTGGAACCCCAAAGCCCTGTCACACACAACTCCTCAACACACTGGCCATACAGCTGCACAGTTAACAATAAATCAGGCACAGGTAAATCACTTAACATTAAAGTTATGACAGCATAAAGACCTACAGATATATCCAGCTATATATGTGCTGCTTTTGTCATGAAAGCCAACAAAATATTCCATTTTTTTCTCAAAACAAAGTTGAGAACTATGGTTGCCTTAAAAGACAAGTGGCTTAAGCCTTGGCTAAGAAGGTTCCAGCATGTTTTAGTGCAACAACCAGCCCTTTCCTGGCTGCTCACGTCACCATTACCTTCTCCTGCTCTGCATGCAACACTCTTGCCTGTGTGTTCTCGTTTGTTGTCTGCAGTGAGTGGTTCCTCTGCTCCATCAGCAGGTTACTTTGCTCCACATACCTGTGAACAGGGGAGGCTCCATGAGCATTTCTGTAAATACACGACTTGGAGCAAAATGTTCATTCAGAAGGGTGACGTTTCGAAGCACAGAAGTTCTGTTTTCCTCATGACAAGTCCCATTTTGCATGATGTCCTGCACTAAGAGTCTGGTCTCAGAGGGGTGGAATGGGTGTGCCTGGCACAGAATTTATCATCTGGGGTAAGTGCTTTACCTCTCTGCACTGTATAATGTTCCTATCACACAGTCAAGAGTTTTGATAACTTGGTATCAGCTCCACTCAACCAGGGACACCACATTCCCTACAATTCCTTCCACCTTACTAAGAAGCCAGCAAAAGTCAAGCAACACCCAGAAGCAGGGCAAGTGTCCTCAAAGATAGCAGGAGAGCTTTTTCCCCCCTTTTACACATTCACATTTACTGTAAATCCCAGCTTTGGAGACAGGCCCTGCAGAGAAGGGGGAGGGGGAACCCCCACAGTTCTAATACCTTAAAAGAAATTTAAAAATACCAGAATGTGGCTTTATCCTAAAGAACACCTCTGTTATGGCCAACTCAGTGTAAGTTAGAGAGTGTGCAAACGCAGAGAGGCTGCTCCCTCTCCCTCCCTTACCTCTGATTGCGCTCGATCAACTCGCTGATCTTCTCATTCTGCTCCTCAATCCGACTGCTCTTCTCAAAGATCTCCTGCTTCAGCCTCTCGTTCTCCTAAAGCACAGCCCAGCATGAACATTCACCTTAAAGACTTCCCTGCAGCAGTTCCTAACCCTTTGTTTTGTAGAGATGCAGGGCAGTGGTGAGGCTCATTCCCTTCGGGGGGACAGCCCAGGAAGGCTCCGTGCTGTGCTGAGCAGCAATCCTGGCACAGGGCAGTGGCTCTCAAGCCCCACTCCAGAGAACGTTGTCTCTGCTTGGCTTTTTCACCCACAAACCCCAGGATTGTAAGGCTGCTGTCTAGAAAAGCTCAAAAGCATAGGACTAAGTAGTGAAAACCACAGGTAGGTGGTTGTTGCAATGCTGGTACTTCAGCTGTGACACTGCTCTGCAGGATGCTGGGGGTCAAGGCCAGGATGGTTTGAGAAGAGGCTGAACTTCTCTCACGTGAACTTTTGCTATTAAATACCAACAGCTCTGGCTCAGAGAGCACCCAAACCCCAAACTGCTGAGGAGCAGAGGGGTGGAAATCTTCTGTGTGCCTCGCACTGGTTTTGGACGTGCAAAAGTAGATCACATGGGTGGATGGACATTTGGGCCAAGCCACTATAGCTGTTCCCATTGGGAATAACAGTGGGATCCAGTTCCTGATGGAATCAGCCAGGCCAGGCTGGCCACGCTCACCTGGATGATGCGCTGGATGTTGCTCATGATCATGGAGGCTTCCATGGTGACAGAGGAGATGCCAGGCAGCAGGGAGCTGTTGGCACTGCTTTGTTTCTTCAGCTCCTCCACCTGCAGGGACAGGACGTTCTTAAGCTTAGAATGGGTGTAGGGAAGAGTCAGACATGTGCAAAGAGGCATTTCCCTGTTCCTCTGCAGGGTACAGGCTACTGAATCCACTGTGACACCTCCTGAGGGGCAGGGAATCCCCCCAGACAATAAATCATATAAAAGAGTAAGAGAGAGCACCTTTCCCCAAGCCTTGGCTTGCTCATAGCAGTTGAGCTGCTACCACTTCAAGGCGTGATCAGATTGGAATTTTAATTAGTGTGTCACCTACAAACTTAACAGAGCCAACTCCTCAGACTAATCTGGAGAGCACAACAACAATGTCACTTCAGAGCCATACACACCTTGGCAGCCAGGTGATCCATTTTATCCACTACTTTGCTCACAGCCAGTCTGATTTCAGTGTTGTGCTGCCGAGCTTCTGTCATCAAAAAGGAAGTAACATCCCCAGGAGCTTGCAGGGAAAGGAGAGAGATCTACAGTCACAAGGGGAAATGCTTCACAGTTTGAAGCCTGCCACACAGGACAGCCACTCTCTTCCCAGAAATAAAAAGGACGTGGTATTTGGAAAACTAAAATTGCAGGTATTTCCCAAATAACACCAACAGGCAGGTTGGTGAGCACAGGAAATTCTTGAGCCATGTGACAGCACTCAGGTCAACAAGAGCAAAGCCCCCCAAACACACTATAAAAGCAGAGGCACAATCAAACAACAGGAATGGAAGTTGGCTCCCAAAAACTGAACTGAAAAAAAAATCATGCTCCGAGAGAAGCTCAGCTCAAGATTTTACCACCTAGGATTGCTTAAACGGTTCTTTAAATGCCTTTAGCCCTTCCCAGGTTGTGCTTTTTAGTAATTCTTTCCCTGGCTGGTAGAAGAGCTGTTTGCTATTAATTATAAATATAACTGGAAGCACCAGCTGTAAAATTAGTAGTATCCAGTCTTGGGAAGGCACCTAGAATTTCCATCCCCTTTCACACTGCACCAAGTTCCTTAAGGTAAGAAAAAGATGGATATTTACTGGTGAAATTTTCACCTCTATTTGGTATTAAAAAATAAACATTTGTGAAACAGCACGGCATTAAAGATGGGATGAATATGTATGTGTACAGTTACTAAATCTGCTACTAAACCATCACTACAAACAGTTTACTGCAGGTGTTGCAGCCCTCTGAGAAGGAGATACTTTTCAAAACATACCTTGGTAAGGGGCAGGATACATCTGGCCCACAGGCTGGAGCTGAGAAGCAGATGCAGCAGTTTGGGGGTAAGCAAATGCCATCCCTGGATATGCCTTGCAGAACAAGTTCAATAGGTTAGGATTGTGGGTGTATTGGTGTTTTAGTATTTCCCCCCATCCTCACAGTCCAGTGGCTTTCACATTTTAAGCCCAAGAGCAAGGATGATGTTTGGAAAATAAAACCCCAAGAACTAAGGAGCTGGAAAGTCAAATTACACACCAGTCACAGTAAAGGGAAAATAACAGTCACTCTTCTTGCAAGGCTTAGATATGTGCTGAAGTTGGCACAGCTTAAAAAGTTACCCTCTTCACTCAGAGTTAAGAAAAGCATGGCATTCTCCATTTGTGAGAGTCAAAGATGAGCCTGTGAGCACCTCACTCTGAAGTTATGCCAACTTGAACACAAGGCTCAAAAAGTGCAACACAACTTTACTGCTCCTTGCTCAAGTACTGGGAAGGTTTTATTGTATCCACTACAAAACCAGGTATCAAACAAAGCCTGGTTAATCCTCAGTTCAACTTTAAGAAGCCATCAGTAAAGAGCAATTTAGCTCTTTTTGATTAAATTCTAAGAGGCATGTGATGGACACCTGAGTCCCAGGAAACAGCCTGGAATTCTCATCCTTACGTGCTGCTATGCAGTCCTTGCTCCCAGCAGTGGAGAGGGCAGTAGGGCTTGGGAGAAAGGACAGAAGTGCCAATGATTTCACGTTGGTACCTGAAAGCCCTGTGCTCCTCCAGGCAGAGCTGAGTGGGGCTGGATCGTTGCAGGAATTAAAGCAGCAGAAGATACTGAGGGTGCAGCACCAGATGCTTGAGGTACTGCAAAGGAAGAGAGAAATTCAGGATAAGTACCTAGAAATTAGTCAACTCACCCAGTGTGAAATGGAAAAAAAAACCAAAACAAAACACAACAAACAAACAAAAAATTAAATAAAAATTCAAAAGACAAAATTTAACACAAGCCTGTCTGCAGCCTTGTGAAAATTAAATCCAGTCAAGCAAGTGATAAAAGGTCAAGAAAAGAATAACCTTTCACAGAAATCCCACTTCTAGCTACATTTAGACAACCCCTTTTCACTCAAACAAAGGTAGCTCTGAAGTTTGTTGACACAAGATGTTATTCAGGCTGACTCTGAACACTGCTCAGCTGACCAGCAGCTGATGTGACTATTCCCTCATGGGAAGACAAGTCAAGCCCTGCTGCAGAGCCAGTTCTCTGCCCCCTTCACTCTGATTTCCATCATTTCTAAAAAAAAAAAATTGCTGTTCAATGGGAAAGGATTTGTAACATCTCACTTAGAAGTCTCAGTGCCACCCCGGCACACATGGGGACAGAGCAGCCCACACGTGGGGGTTGCTCTCCCTCAAACAGGATTGTAGGAACATGAAGAAACACTCCAAGGACTCAGTTTCATGCTTCATGGATAAGGGTTCCTATGGAGCTGAACATCAGCAAGCCTTATCAGAAGCTATCTATAAACTCCTGGAAGGAATCCTCTGTTCCTGCAGCCTGCAAGTGGAGTGTCCCCACGGCAGCCCCAGCACGTTACCTTGTGTGGACACCGTGGGCAGCACTGCTTGAGCTGGCTGGGAAGGTCTCATGGCAGATGGAGCCACTGGCTGGGCTGTCCCTCTCAGTGTATTTGGATCCTAAAAACATTCTGCACGTTACAACAGATGCTGAAGAACAGGCAAACAGTCTGAGCCCAGGAAGGTCTTACCCAACCAACCCAAGAGAACTACCAAGTGGAACCTTTTGGCCACAGAACCAGAGCAGACCTTCCCAGGACCACAGGAGAGCCACTGCTACAGATTCCACTTTAAGCAACTCCCACTGTAGGAGAAGCATTAGAAAAGTGCCACTGCTGTGGCTGGTGATGTACCTCTATTTCTGAGTCACTGGAGTCCAGCTGACCCCCTGCTGTCCCAGCGAGGAAGGGCAGCATGGGCTGCCCCATTTTGGCCATCCGAGAAATCAGCTTTGCCTTTGCTACATCTGGGTTCTGAAAGAAACATTTACAGCTACTGTCAGGCTTTTCAGGTATTACAGACACGTCTGTCAGGATTGCACACTTATAAATTTATGATTTAATAATTTTGGCTCTTTCATTCTCTCAGTGATGTGAAGAACTACTTTTCAAGCACGCAGGATAGCACCATGAATTTGTTAATCTGGCTTGCTTTATATACCATTCTTCTGGGATGATACTGCTGGCACTACATAGAAAAGTTTATCCCTGCACAAAACACAGCAACAAGAAAAAAATGTGTGCATTCAGGAAGCTTTTTCTATCCTGAGGCACACACACAAAGTCTTCTCATGGAGCAGTACAAACATGTCCCAGTTACTCTTTGTTATCCCTTTAAAACCTGTCCATTCATCCCAAAGGACAAGCAGCCTTGTGAACATCCACACAGTCAAAGCACTTTGCATTTAGGAGTAGAAACTGGGACCGAGGTTCTCAGGTCCTGCTCATCACAGAATCACTATGGTTGGAGATGACCTCTAAGGTCGAGTCTAACCATTAATCCTTTCAAAAACAAGGCACTACCCTGCTCTCAGCAAGGGGAACATTCCATGTCTTGCTTGCACGATGCTCACTTTGTCTTAAGCAATACCCAAAGCTAAGCTGAAACCAAACAAGCTTCCCTACTTAAGGCTTCTAATTAATTAGGCAAAGCCAGCACTTACTGCGAGCTGCTCACTGATGGAGTTGGACTTGGCCCGCACAGCTGGTTCCCTGCAAAGCAAACAGGGGTGTGTTCATACTGGAGACATCCCAGGGGAAATTCAGGATCCAGCATTCTGGATTTAGAAATACTGGTTTTCCAAGGGGAAGGTGTATTTGACATTTTTTTGTATCTTGAGCACTTCACTCCTGGGAGATTCTTTACAACAATATCTGTAGATATGTTCAGGACATGACTGTGGACAAGTCTCATGGCTGTGGAACAGCTGATTGCAGAAAGATGATTTTGCTGATTGCTGTAACAGCCACATTCTGGCACAAACAGTTTTAACCCCAAGTCCAAAACCAAACTACTTGTGGCAACAAGAGGAGCACTTATTTGGACTCCCTGAAAAGGGTGAGTGACCCTTTTAATTTAAGAAACAGATCATAGAATTGTTAAGGTTGGAAAAGACCTCTAAGGTCAAGTCCAACCATTAACCCAGCATTCAGCACTAACCCATGTCCCCAAGTGCCACATCTCCATTTTTGGAACACCTCCAGAAATCGTGACCCCACCACTGCCCTGGGCATCCTGTGCCAGTGTCTGACCACCCTTTTAGAGAAAAAAATTTTCCTAATATCCAATAGAAACCTCCCCTGGCACAACTTGAGGCCGTTTCCTCTTGCCCAGTTGCTCGTTACTTGGGAGAAGCGCCCAACCCCACCTGGCTACACCCTCTTTTCTGGCAGTTGTAGAGTGAGAAGGTCCAAACTGATGACTGTGCTGCCAGCTGAGATGAGACAGCTGCTCTAGCAGCACCCACACAGCTCAGTCACACCAGATCTCAGCAAGGCTGTGGAGGAATGACCTCCTTCATTCAAGCCTGTCTCAGTTTCTTTAAATCTGAAATCAGCAATCCAGCAGAAAATTTCCCCAAGTCCTGTTAGCCAGCAGCTCTGCCCCACTGAGGGCACTGGGCGGGCACACAGAGGACCCAAATGATGTGTTAGAGCAGCTTTGTGACACATTTTTATGGGTACTGCCATCTTTAATGCCACAAGTTGTTTTAACTCTGCTGCTTCTTACCCAGGCTTTGGAGGGATTGTGGAGGGAGGCATTAAACCAGTGTCTGCAGAGAAGCCATCCGAGCTGGGGACTGGAGAAGGTGCAGGAGAATCCCTTGAACTCACACTCAGTCCATCTGAAGCAGAGCACTCCTTTGCCAGCTTCACCTTAGAAAAAACCATGTAGCAAAAAATATGATTTTCTTTGGTTCCTGGAAAGATTCTCAGCAGGTTGTTTTTTTGTGATCTTACTCTCTGTCGAGCTCATGCACCCCAAGTAAAAGCAGACAACTGATTCACAGCTGGAGAAGCTGAGTCTTCACATCCTGTCATTCCTCCAGGAGTATTTTGTTTTCCCAAGTGACTAACAAATGAGACAACTAAAACATCCCAGGACAGTTACAACAGACGTGTCTTAGTGAACAGCCTGGAGGGATTTTCTGGGTTTAGGGTTCTGGTTTGGGTTTGTTTGTTTGTTCTTTAATTAAAGATACCCGTCTTCCCCAGGTGTTTGGTTTATAACAGTTTCTGAGCCAACAGCAGGTTCCCACCTTGCAGACACCCAAGAGCCACACAGAACATGTAAAACAGACTCTGGAAGGAGACACTCACCCTCTTGACCTCCACCTCAAACACCAGGGTAGAGTCTGGAGGGACACGACCAGGCACTCCCTGAGCCCCGTAGGCCCATGCTGGGGGGATGATGAGGTACCTTCGCCCTCCTTTCTTCATCCCCATCATTCCTTCTTCCCAGCCCTTTGGTTTTCAGAGACACAACAGAAGAGAGAGCAACAACTGGATCAGTGACATTAGTTTCTTTTAATTACCCCTATAAAGACAACTTCAGGCAGCAGTTATAGAAGATTCCAAAACATGGAGTTGTAAAATCCTATTTCTCTTCAGTCTGCAGGACTAAACCTTTGTCTTACTACAAATCATAACAGCCAGTTATAAACTCCAACATTAACTCAAGAATAAAGATGCAGATCCACCAGAGAGTGGTGACCTCTCTCAGCATTCTGGGAAAGAACTGGACTCCACATCACTGAGAGCTGAATTGCTCTGGCTGGATTTGCAAAGCACCCAGAGAAATCAGTTGTAGTGAGGGGGATGTGGAAGTCAGAGCAATGCAAACTGCACTGGACAGGATGGCTCTGACAGCCAGGCAACATTAATAAGGTACAGGTTAAAACAAAATAAAACAGAAAAATAACATGTCTTCAATAAAGGACAACTTGTAACAGGTCATATAGGAATTACTCAGGTAATGGAAGCGACCTGAACAAAGCACCTCTGATTCAAACCCTGGGTTTACGGAATAACATAAGGGAGTATCACACCCCCTGGACTGAAAAATGATCACAGAGTCAACCCCTCATGATCTGACTGGGAGGGTGAAACCACTGGCAGCAGCAGAACTGCCTTGTCCTAGGCCAGCCTAAAATTTGTCAGGCATCTCCACCCTCCCCTGCCCTCCTCCAGGGTGTATCTGATGCTCTGCTTCCGAGGCACAACGAGCAGGGAAGGACCCAAAGTTCTACTCTCAAAAAGAAATTCTCCTTTAGGAATAGGGTTCCCTGAGAACAAGGGAATGGATTCAGTGACTTCCAGCAAAATACAGACAAAAAAACTTCAGGTCTTCAAAATAGGAAGCTTCCTTTTTACCAAACAGGGCAACTTCTGGTGTTGAAAAGGAGAGTGGGCTGTGCAAATTAGGAAGAAAAAAAATCTGAGTGAGCCAATGCAACAGAGTGTTTTCTAATAAATGAAGCTGAAATAGCAAATATGAATCCTGATCTTCAGTAATTCCCAGCTCTGAGATTTCAATCATAAGAATGAAAGTGCCAGAAGCTGTACCTTGATGACCTTTCCAGATCCCAGCTTCAGCCTCAGCAGCTTGTCTTTGTTAACGTTGGAGTCAAACACCTGCAGAGTTGAACAACAACACAAAATCCATGGATTTCCCAACTGTTTCAAGGTCCTGAATGCTACTTTACACATTCCCCAAACTTCCAGAACCTCTGCTTGCATGCTATTTCCCATCACACTGCTTTCAAAGTTAATTCTCAGCCTTAAGACAGTTTGGCACAGCTTTTGGTCCATTTCCTGAAGTACAATTTCACGAAGGGAATTGATAGCTGCAGACTCAGACTTTAGACCTGCTTTAGGACAGGACTGGGTCAAGTAAAACACTCCCCAGCATTAAATATTCATGGTGTGAGAGTGCCTATGGAAGTTAAGAGCATTTCAATCACCTCCTCCTGAGCAGTAATGGTATCACAGAACCATTAAGGCTGGGAAAGCCCTCTAAGATTATCAAGTCCAACCATTCCCCCAGCACTGCCACGTTCACCACTAGCCCATGTCTCTAAGCACCACATCCAGATGGTTTTTGAACACTCTCAGGGATGGGGACTCCACCAGTGGCCTGGGCAGGCTGTGCCAAGGCTTGACAACCCTTTCAGTGAGGAAACTTGTCCTGATATGCCAGAATCTCTTTATTATTCTATAGGTAACACAAATGACCTCACTTACAGCGCCACAAAGGACCAAAATACACCTTTAACACCAACACTATGCTGGAGGTGCAGGTTCCTCCCAGGGACTGTCACACTCACATCAGGAGGCAGCAGAAATGTCTTTACCTGTCCCAGCCCGTTGTTCTGGAACAGCCAACCCGTGTAGGCAACTTCCAGAGAGTCTCCTGCTTCTACTCCCTGCCCTTCTCCAAGCAGGAGATCCTGGTAGAGGACTGACTCAAGCACTGGGGAGCTGTTGCATTTGGCAATGCACACCTGCAGAAGGAAAGCCATTAAACCAGAGGCAAGTCCCACTCATTACCAGTTTGATGTCTTCCTTACTGTACTGATCAAGCCCAGGTTAGAAGTGCACTCACAAGGCATTCCATGTTTCCTTGTGCTGAATTTTGCTGATTAAATACCCCCTGCTCTACAGAAAATTGGTCTTACAGTACTTGAGAGGCTTGATCAAAAATCCCATCAGAACTAACAGGCTCCCTTGCCTGTTTTAATTAATAAACCCCAGACATCTGCTTAGGAAGACACTCAAAGCTGAACCTCAGTGAAAAAACTGACACAGAATCCTCCAGCCAGAAAGGTGCTCTCAGAGATACACCTTGATTTGCCCATTTTTCTAAACAGTCCAGCAAATTCTCCCTGGCCCAGAGGGAGCAGTTACCTGTTTGCTGAAATCCATCGCTGCCTTTTCAGATTCAAACATGATGGACCAGTTTTGCCTCTGATCATCGTAGAAGGTGCTGTAATTGTTGGGTTGGACCTGGGGGGAAGGAAATCAGTCCTATGAACACATTAAATGCGTTCGACCAAACTAATAAAAAATCCACATCCTAAAGCAGCTTAAAATAAGAGCTGCTGAAATTAGGCAGAGTCAGAGGAAGAACCCTGCTGTTCTACTGCCCAACTTATGAATGCACAAATTAGCTTTTATTTCTGTGCTTATTATTGTGGAAGAATTATTATAACTCAAACACTTGGGCAAATATAAAGTTCTTCAGAGATGCTGCAGCTTTTATGATGTGGGGAACCTTTCACAAGCTTCTCTGAAGCTCAGTTCATAGTGTATATTTAAGTGTATCTATTTTTCATTGATATTATTTTTAGACTCCCAAAATCAATTGGAGAGGTCACTCTTTCCTTACTTCTAAAAATCCACATCACCAGAAGCTGAATACATAACCCATTAATCCTTTAAAAACGTGCTTATAAAACTAGAAAGCAAGGCCACAAACTAAAAACCTGGTCACAAAGTGGGACTGAAATTCTATTCACTATTTCAGAGTGAAATTTCCATTTATCAAACCAAGAAATTTCGCGTCATCTGATGACAAGCTAAGAACAGCAAACCAACACATCAATTTTCTGTAAAACTTGCAGAAAACAACTTCCTGAGAGATCCCATTTTAGGGCTTACACTGCTCCAGACTGTTCTCAAGAGCAGGAAAATGCTGAGTGTCAGTTTTCTGGGAGAAAACATTTCCCTGCTGTCATTTCCTTCTGCTTACTCGCATCCTCTCAGCCTCTTATCTACAAATCCTCAGCAAGAGGAATTTTGTTCTGTTTGTATCCATTGCGGGGCTGCAATCCCCAGAACACCTCCTGTGTGATCAGAGGGAATAATTTACCTCCTACAGGTGATGCCCTTGGTTGTGGAATGCACTGAGGAGGTGCTCTGGAAGAGACAGATGGAACAGCCTCTTGTGCAATGCAGGAGGAGGAGAACAGTCCCTGTGACACCTCCTGCTCTGTCAGTCAGATGTTTGATCTCAAAGGTTACAAACCAGGGCTTAAGCAAGAATTTCAGTGTTTGCTGAGAACAGTTCCTATCCCTGAGCACTTTCCTAACCCAGAGCTTACCGTGAGGACAAAGCCTGGGTGGATCCTGGCAGTTGTGATCTGCTGCTGCTGACTGATGTAGAGGAGGATCCTGTACTGGATTCCACAAGGAGTTGGGCAAGGAGAAAGAACAAAGAAGCAGAAACTCAAAACATTTTCAATTCCAAAGCACTTTGTCAAGCCCTGGGGCCTAAGGCTCAGTATTTATTTGTCAGATAAATAGGACCTTGCAGCAGCATTTTTCACAGCAAAAATACTTAATATAGTTTTGTAACACCTATTAAATCTGCCTTATTTTCAAGGGGGTTTTATTTAGCTGCAGGAATCCAAGCGATTCAAACTCATTATTTTTAAATAAAAAAGATGCTCTAACTAATTCCACATTTTTCACAGTTACGGTGCAAAAAGATGGTGCATTAACCCTTCCATACATACAACCCACCACACATGGCATAAAATAGCCATGGGACCACTTAGCTTGGGAAAGATGTCTAGGATCATAGAGTCCAACCATCCCCAAAGGAGAAGCAACATAGGGAGACAGCATGAATTAGGAATTGGGGGGATATGAAACATCCCAGATACCAACAGCAAGGACAGATGAGAGTTTTCAAAGTCCCTTTTAAACACACCAATTTTTTGGGCATCTCAGTGTCATGTTCTTAGAAGAACACTTGGAAGGAGAGATATTTTTGATACACCAGAAGGAGAGAGAATTTTGATACAAAACTTAAGCAAAGCTTTTCTGCACTACTGGACAAAATTCTCCTTTATACTGATTTCCACGTGCACAGATTTGTGATCCAGTTGTCAAAGACATCCTGAATAAATACCAAAATCACTTCCTTCAAATTGGAAAAGGTGCCTGACACATTTCAAACTACTTCAGGCACAAGTTGTAAGAGGTCTCACAAACCCATGGCCTGCAGGAAAGGTGTCACCCAGGTGAACAGGTGGGACACAAGAAAACCCAGGGGACAGGAAGGCAACAGGGGAACTGAGACCTCAACACCAGAAGCAAAGACATCCTGGAGAGCTCAGAGAAACATCACCTCCCACCAGCAAACACCAACATGTCAGAGAGGGAAGTGTTTCTCACCTCTTTGGCAGCGTGGTTCCCCACTACAGCTGCTCCATACTTGCCCTGCTTCAAGTACTGCCCGTTTGCACTGGAAGACAAGGGAGACATTCAGCTGCAGAGCTGCCCCTGCCTCAGATTTCTCTTTACTCTTGCTGAGTTTTAATTCTTTAATTCCTTTAGACTTCAGGTCCCTTCCCTCAGGCCCAAAACGTCAGGCAGCCTTGCTTAGCTGGGAGACACTCCTGCCTGCCCACAGAATAAAGAACATTATGGAGTTGGAGTTGAAAGCTGCTCTTCTCCCAGACCCAGGGCAGATGAGTTTTTACATGATGGCAGCAAACAAACAGAACTTTGCTGCTGCCCCTCTGCTCATGCCTCAGTTCTGGAATGCCTGAGACACAAGCCTCTGGCAGAGCTGCCTGAAGCAGTGCAATTATCAGCCCAGCATGCAGCTCCAGCAACAGCCACATCCAGCCCTTGCTCTTTATCTCACCCAGAGCTGCAGCAACTGCAACTCCTCCCGAGCAGAAACTTGGACCTGTAGCACTTCTACCACACACAGACACATCTGTAAGCAACAGTCCCCTCCCCCTCATGCAAAACTATCTCCCCTGTGTGAGCAGGGAGCTCCAGAGGCACAGACTCCCCCAGTCCCACCGGACACTCACTATCGGTAGGCGAGGACCGCGGTGGCCACCAACACCGCCGGGGCTGCCGGGGCCACCGGAGCCTTCTGGGGCTGACCTGCTGGGAACAAACACCAGGAATGTCTGTTAGTGGCACACAGCTGGGCTGGGACAACACCACGACACGTTCCACCCACCTCCTTCCCCGGGAGAAACAACTCCAGGAGAACATTAATAAAAACAAAGACTCGCGGTCCAAATTTCGCTCACCCGAGGGAACCCCAGCGTGGGAGGGTACTGAAGGATAACATAATTCAGGAAAACTCGGTGAATTATTTGCATTGCTGCTCTTCCCAAGGCCCTCCTTCTCCCCACACACACATCCAGCTGAGTTTGTTCCCCACACTCCAGCCCAGTTACTCACCAGCCGCTGCCTGACCCTTCTTGGGCTGCTTTGGGGCAGTGAACTGGAAGAATTCATTGCCCTGGCCTGAGACTGTTTGATCCAGACCAAAGAGAGAGGCCAATCTGGCACTAGAGAGAGAAATAAAATCATTTAAATCTTATTTAGTTGGTTAGAACTTGGTGCCAAGAACACCAAGGTTGGGGGTTTGATCCCCAAATGGGTCATTCACTTAAGAGCTGGATTTGATCCTTGTGGGTCCCTCCCAACTCAGAACATTCTGTGATTTAACACTGACTTTACGGATAATGAACACCCTTAGTTAGAAGTTCTATTAAACACAAAGTGTTTACCATCACTTCAGAAATAAATCAACTGCAGGTTAAGTTGCTCTTTAGCTAATTAGCCACTTAATTTGTAATAAGCAGAACTTGTAGATGGAGGAGTTGGGGAAGTGGCACAACTGTGTTTCATTTCCTCAAAAGAAACTGAGGGTAAAATGGACCGAAACTACACAAAAAAAGGAGTTAGTCTGGAGCAATGACTAGAACGAGCCTCACATAAACCAGCTTATAATGAACAAACTGTTCAGAGAAGCCACCTCTTGAAGTTGTCTTCTTTAAATATCCAGGACACACGTTCTCCCATCAAGCTTTAAAATGGCAGAAGCTCTCCCAGCTGAGGGCAGAGAGTTTATTGCTGGAGGTTGTTCCTTCAAGAGATGTTGTTTGCAGTTTTACTGATTTAAGACTTGCTAAGCTCAACTTGCTCTTGGTATCGTGGGATAAGGGAATAATTTAAAGGGCACCACCACTGTCAGTGCACCTGCAGCAACTTACAGGACCTGCTTTAAACAAGTAAATAAATTTGCTAAAGAAAGAGGGTTAGTTTATAGGAGCTGTTGAAAAGAAGCTCGTGGAAAGGGGTGAGGAGTGGGCAGAGCTGGAATTACAACTGCGAGGAATCTTGGAAGTGGCAACAAGTCAAAGGATAGAATAAAACCTGGATGTGCCACACATGGGTGCGACACCAACAGAAACAGAAAGCAGCCCCAAATCGGCACTTTCGGGACCTGCCACCGACCCCTCAAGGAAGCGAAAACGCCGATTCCTCTCCCGGTACCGGCAGCGACCCCCGGGCGGCCGCGCCTCCCGCTCCGGGAGGGGCTCCCCGGGCACTGCGGGGTCCCCCGGGGGGCTCTCGGGCCCCCCTGCCCCGGGCACACCCGGGGGGCCGCACCGACCCCTCCGCGGGCTCCCCCGGCACCGCGGGGCAGGGCACACACCCGGGGCTGAGCCCCGTCCCGGCAGGGCAGTGCCGGCCCCGGGTCCCGCAGGCCGCGGCCCGCCCCTCACGGACACGGGCCCTCCCTCCCTCTCTCCCTCCCTCCCTCCCCGGGGCCGCGGCCTGACCGGCCAGGGCAGGGGTCCCGCCGCAACCCCCCCGGCGCTCACCCGCTGGCCGGGGACAGGAAATCCGCGTCGTCCTCCTCCGCCGGCCCGAACATGGCCGGGACCGGGACCGGGACCAGGAGCGGGACCAGGAATGGGAACGGGAATAGGAACGGGCAGCGCTTCACGGCCCGGCGGGACCGGCCCGGCGGGAGGGGCGGGGCTTGGGGACACGTCACAAGGGGCGGGACTTAGAGAGCAGGGAAAGTGGGCGGGGCTTAAAAAGGGCGCTTCGGAAGAGCGGGACTGACCGGGGGCGGGGCAGAGGCGGGGCTGGACGGGAATAGGCGTGGCTTAGTGGAGAGGAACGGACTTATAGGGGCGGGGCTTATGAAACCCATTGACGGGCGGGTGGAGTGAGAGGTGACGTCATGGGGCGGGGCTTATCGGGAGAGCAGAAGGGGCGGAGCTTTCCGCATACGTAAGTTGACAGACACATGGGGGCGGGGCTTAACGAGACCCCTCCCTGAGAGAGGCGGGGCTTAGCGGAACAGGGGTGTTGCCTTGAGGGGGCGGGGTCGACCCCTGGGGAGGCGGGGCTTGTGCCGGGGGGCGGAGCGGAGGCGCCTCGGGCTCGTGGCGGTCGCGCGGTGAGTGACGTGTGGGCATGGGGGGTGTCTCGTGCTCCCC